TTAAGTACTCGGTATCGGCGAGTACTGAAATGCAAGTACTCGTACTCGTTTCCAAAAACGTGGTATCGGTGCATCCCTAGCTACAACTGTAGCTTGCCTCCACCAGTGTGTGAATGTGAGAGTGAATGAATAGTGGAATTGTAAAGCGCTTTTCGGGGCCCTCAAAGCGCTGTATAAATGCAATCCATTATTATTATTATTATTATTATTATTATTACCAGAGAAACAACAGAACTATACTGAATTAAAATCGTCCTGTTGATAACAATAGACAGTCTAGTTTTTCAAGTCAAGATCAGTGTATACGTACTTGACTACCTTTAACCACCACCATGTACTGAGGAAATGTAAAACGTGGTTTCTCTTTTAAAGGTTTTCTTTCTCTCGGCCTTAGGTGTGTTCCCCCCTTTCAACACGGTGCCCCCTGCTCCCTCATTCCGTACTCCGGGATTGGGACCAGTCGGTGATCAAGGTCCAGTCGGAACTGAGGAGCTGCCGGATTTATGTTGTCCTAAGTGCCAGTACCTGGCTCCAGATATGGACACACTGCAGATACATGTAATGGACTGTATACAGTAACATAATCATTATTGCCCTGCACACCATGACAACAACATACATAGATATGCAGTATGTATAGTCTGTTTAGATTCAGTGTGTCTTCTCCCATTTCTGGGTGCCCGCTGGAAAAACATGTTTGGATAGTTGCACCTTACTCTCGCTTTCTCTCTCAAACAAATACACATCCACAAACCTGAACACAAATTCTGGATCTTTCTGTTGAACAGTTCAGTATGCTGGAATTGAGACAGTTCATGCCAAGGCAATCTGATGACAGTTTGAACAAGTGAAAGAAAAGCAAGAAAATCAGCATGATATTTCCCTGTAGCTCTAGTGTGGATCCAGTCTCTGCTGTAGTTTTTCCCTTTCCACAATCATTATAATCATTTCTGTTCTTATGTTTCCCCTCATACCTTTTCCTATGCTTACTTTCCTCTGAGACAGCACTTTGATGCACATTTTCTTCAGTATTTTTTAGATTCAGTGATTAGATTCACATGATCCTCTATCCCCCATTTTCTTTGCTTCTTTGCTTCAATGCTGTAGTGATGACAGAGGAGCACACTACATGCTGTGAAGTAAATGTGTATACTTGTAATTCCATCAGTCCAAAAGATCAGTAATTATTAGACCTAAGGTGATGATAAGTTTAGAAGAAAAAAAAGAAGTGACAATCCAGATGTTATACACATGATCATGTGAATAACATATTGAGCTTAAAAAAAAATCTGATATGTTATGGTTGTAAACGTAGCTGTCTGCATTACCTCAGAACATGTATTATGATGTATTAGAGATGGATTTACTCTTGTTGGAGGAAAAAAGTAACCATTCTCTGTGTTCTGTGCCTGTGTACATGACTGACTGCACCTCATGCTAAACCCAGTCCTTAACCCAACAGCCCTTTTGTGACCCTTCTATTGTCTTAGCTTTACCTGTTGCACCTATTTATCTATCTGAATGTAAGATTTCTTCACAGTTTGTGTGGATTTTAACTAAGTATAGAAACATTTGTGGAAAAAATGCATCAAACTGTTGGAGATTCACAAAATAAATCAGTTATTCATTTGACTTTATATGTTTTTATATAGATATGGAATTGATGTTTCATTTAGAAACACTGCTCCAGAGTGGGGTTCAAACACGTATGTCATGTGACATAAGTAAGGGTTTGGTGGCTCACCTGCTGTTTCAAGGCAGGTCAGGCGCAAGGATTCAGATTTTTTTTTTATGGGTGTTTTCCCAGGCTGTTGGCAAGGCTCGCTAAAAATAAAGCTCACTGAGCCCCAAAACAGCTTGACACAATAAACATATCGGTCCATTCTCAATATATTTTATTTTATAGCTGGATTTATTGTGTGTTTCATAACAATCACTAAGCAACTGAAACAGCTTCAAGAAGGTCAACAGAGAGAAAATGGTATTGTTGAAAATTTTCTGAAGGACACTACCATCAGCGAGCACTCAATGTGGGAACAGCCTCGGTGTTTTTTCTTCCTTGTTTGTACCGGTATTTCCCCAAAACACGTGCTGATCGAAGTTATTGATAGTCTGGTGTAATAATTGGCCTTAATTGTAATTGTGCAGAGTTTGTGTATTTTTTTTCTTTTTTTTTTCTTCACAAAACAGCATTATGAGATGTCACTGTGGAAACCGCTCTGATTGTTTCTTAACCTCGACACAATTTCGGCATAGTCACACCATTGCTTCACACGTTAGACTCACCTTGCCTTTGTTTTGCGTCATCGTAAATGCTTTCTCGCAACTATAAAGAAACCGTTTACAACACGTGTCAAAGTCAAGGCCCGCGGGCCACATCCGGCCCGGCGTACATTGTAGTGGAGCTAATGTGGCTGTAGTTAAGGAATTTAATACGGTAAAAAAATACATTTTTCCTGGCCAAAATATATTTCAAATATGTTGTATTTAGGGATGGGTATCGTTTAGGTTTTATCCGATACCGGTGCCAAATCGGTACTTTTGAAACTGTGCCGGTGCTTAAACGGTGCTCAAACCGGTGCTTAAAGAATGGAGAACACAAA